ATCTATAGAAAAATCAATGGGAAATGACTAATATCATCTTAAGCTTTTAATTTATTTCTCATGGGGGAAGGAAATACCTTGACAGATTTAGCACTCAAATTCAAATGAATGTAAGAACAGGTGGCCGAATTTTTCCCCCACCTGCCAATGCAACTTTATAGCAAGAAATGTTTCATTTAGCAAATGCTGCAGCTAGCAGACACTTCTCTGTTTCAGAGCAGAAAAACAAATGACGGGGGAGTCCTTCTTTGAAGAAAGCCTTTTTCTTGATTTTCTTTTTAAATTGTGAGTGTGAGAAATATGTATTTTCTTTTTCTGGGGGACGGGTGGTGAAGCATGAGCCAGTGCCTTGATTAACCAAGCTGACTTGTTGTGTTGTTATACCATTCATGACTTTTATTTTTGTTTTGTTTTGTTGTTGTTGCACTTCTTGCACACCAACCCACTGGCGCTGACTTTCAGTTAGAATAATATTATTACTCGGGGAAATTGCAGTATTTGAATAATACTTTTGACACTAACTCAGAAACCCCTGTTCTTTTGTTACAGTGGCATTAGGTTATTAGAATTACACACATTGTTAGGTTTAACCACTTTGTAATGGTAGTCACAAGCAAGAAGTGCTGTCAAACTGATCAGGAGCTGAAGAGAGAAAAGTTAAAGGCATTGATGTACTTTTACCTTTCTGGTTTTTCTCTGATTCACTTATTTTTTTCCCTCAGAAATGAAATCAAGTAAAGTAAAGGGAACAACTTGACATGTATTCTGATAGTCTTGGGCAGTATGTTTCTTCTGCAAGTACATGTATCCTATCAGCATGTTTTATTGAGACTGATGTGTCCTAAGACTATTTGAGGCTTTGGAGCCAAATGATGCAATTATGAGATACTCTTCCCTTCCCCATATGGCATACCAACAAACCCGATTGCTATAGTGAATTCTAAGTACACGGTTCTTCATGGAACATCTACCGAACTATTACCTCTACAGAACTATTCATTGTAGAAAACATATTTGAACCAGATTGACAGACCACTCTTGCTGCGGCCCACCCACCAGTAATACACAGTCTTTTATTGTCATGATGTTCAGTGTAAAAAGGAAAAGAATGTGTACATTTGATGATTTTAAATTTTTCATTAAAAAATCCATGAGTGAACAATGCCATGCCGATGGCAGGGGCTTAATATTTGTTTGCACTAGCAATTTTGAGAGTGTATGTTCTACTCTACTATTTTATAAGTTTACAGATTTGCTTTAATTTGCATATTCTGGAGTACGAATGGAGTTGAACATTTTTCTATCTGTTAATCATTTGTACTTTTATATTTATGAATTGTGTCCCTATGTCATTTACACCTGTTTCCCTTGGGGTAATTTTTTAAATATGGAAGGCTTCGAGGCAACATTACAATGTTAGTATCACCCTGTTAACATGTGACAATTGCTTAGACTATTTCCTTTGTCTTCAAATACTAGTACAAAGAAATGCCACAGTCTATGTATGTTTGGTTTGACCACCTTTGCAGAGCTTTCAGTAAGACCATCAGGCAGTGCTTCCATCTCTACCTAATGCTCTTCGAAAAAGTAATTGTTCTCTTTGAGCAAGTGCACTTGAGTGACTCATGTACACTTTGTGAAAGATTGCTTTCATGCTCTGTGGTTGGTCACTGTTTACAAAATAAGATGTGTCCAGCGGTAGTGGGGCGGGCGGGAATGGTGTGGTAGCAATATGTAGACGCTGGAAGAAAAAGATTCGATTTTTCAAAAGAAAATTGATGAACACAATCTCTCTCATGAATAATTTTACAGTTTTGATGAAATAGGACTATTTGGACAGGGTTTGCTTGATTCTAAATTGGCATGTAAAAGTGAATCCAAATAACAATTTTTTTTTTTTTTGGTTCTTCTTTTTTCTCTCCAAATAACAATTGTTTAAAGCCGACTTAGGAATTATTCTTCCATGAGTTTACATAGGACAAAAGCCTTTCCACATAATTATCTTATAAACTTCAAAGCTATTATGTACTTATCTCCTGTAAACAGTTGATTTTTCAGATTGATGGACTGGAGGAGAGCAGAGGTATTCTATTATTAGGCAGTCTTGGAGGAGTTAGTGGTAATTAATAATCCTACTGTGTTTCTGACTGCCAGCGTTACCTCATGGAGTTAACCCTCAGACTGGGAAGTTATTTAGAACATGAAATTTCTTTAGAAAATCTGTCCTGAGGAGGTTAATCCCTCTGTACCGGGGTTTCTCAACCTTGGCATTCTTGAAAGTTTTGCCTGAGCACTGCTTTGCCGTGGAGACCTTTCCTGTGCCTTGTAGGATGTTTAACAGCATCCCACCAGATGAGAGTAGCAACGCCTCACTACCCTGCGACCACGTAAAGTGTTTCCAGACATCGATGTCCCTCCCCCCCCACTGAGAACCACTGCTCCTTTTATTGCTTTCAACCATATGACTTAGAAAGGATACGATTAAAAATGTTATTTGTTCTTGGAATTACTCAGATAATCATTCCTTTAAGGATAGTTTGATGTCATTGTGGCTTGGAGTTTGCAGAGAGGTTTCACCTCCTTGCACTGTTGAAGAACAATGCTCTTCGCATACAGTCAATAGGCTTAGTGAGTAGGAGATAGAAGAGAATATTGAATCTGCTGGGGAGGTTGACATGACATGTGCTGTTACTGATGCAGAAATAATAGGGAATGTTCTGAATGTTTAAAAGTCAAAAGATGTTGATAAGAAGTCATGAAAAAGATGATTTTAGTGAAGACTTCTTTAGCTTTTGAAGTAATTAGTTAGAAAGCCAGACATTATCTTGCCAAGAATAGGCTGCATTTTTATATTCTGCCTTTCGATTTTAAGAGCAAGAGACAAATGACATGGAAACAAGTTGTGATCTGTAGTTTATTTAAAAAAAAAATACAATTTCCAGGATATGTCATAGGGGCAGTGCGGTTTCAGCTTTACTCCTGTCCCGTTTACATCTGTGGTTCTGTGAAATAATAATTGACGGTCATTTAACGCACCGCATGATAAAGAAATGTCTCTGGAATGATCCACAGAAATGAGATTCTGTATTCATTCAGATGACATATATTAAACCTCTCATGTGCCAGGTTCTGTGCAGGGAATACAGAAACTAATGAAACATTCTGCTTGAATGTCCCATTAAAATAATTCTGGATGAATGGAAAATTTCTGGTTAGGGATACCAGTCACCATCAATCTATTTCCCACTTTTCCATTTGATTCTGTAATTAAATGTCTGTCTGCGAAAGCTGGTTAAAAGTATCTGCAAATGTATGTATGCTATATATCATGTATATAATTTCTTTTAAAAAGCTATTTCTGAAGCTAGTGGAAAACTATTCATTTCCTTTTATGCTTGTTAAAATCTTATTTAAATTATTATCTTCTTTATTAAATATCCATGAGAGTTGAATAAAACATGGTTATATATTATCAATTCATTTTTTGGTTATACTATGGCTCTAATATCGTTAAGAAGAATTGATGTCACCCTTAAGGCCAGGATTTTTGCTAATTATTGCAGGATTTAAAGCCATTTGGTTGGTGTCAAAATTCAAAAAGGAGGATCTTTGTTAAAAGTATGGTATTGTTGTAAAACTTTTTTTCCTATTAAAACTGATCAACTTAGATTATAGGTATGGTAGGGAAAAGGTGAAATCTCTATGGTATTGGATAGACACGAGTTAGAGAAACCAATAATTCAACCTTCGGGAAGTTAGAAATAAATAGGAAAAAGGCATAGTTCTAGCACTTGGAAATCCATTCTTCCTTTCTCCCTTCTTAATGTCCATTTTAGCAGTCTGCCCATCATGAATGCACAAACCCGTTCAGAAGCATGGGGCTCCCTGCTCTCAGGTGATTCAGAAACAGTTTTAGCAGTGTATACTTTAGGAAACACAAGTCTGCCTAGTCTAAGGAATAATGAAAGGTTGTACCACAATGGTCAATTTTTAGTGTAACCTGAGGCCTTTAACTATTATTTCGCCATTTTCTCTGTGAAACTAACTACAGGTTGACTACAGGTTCTCTAATGCTTTTTATGGTCCCTGAAAAATTGCTAATGTGATATATACACGGGCATAGCTTCCGTTTATTATTTTTATTATTTGTTTGTTTGGAAAGATGAAAAGGCCACTACACTGTAGCTGTTTGGCTAAATAATCCCAAGTGATTATTTAGTGAGAGATACTGCTAGAAAAAGGAATTATTTCATGTGTAAATTTTTTTGTTCAGTTGGGGTTGATTAGAACTATAGTAACACAAGAGGAAGTAATGTATTAGGATACCACAGTTAATCTTTGACTTTTACTTATGGGGTCTTTGGAGTTTGGAAACAGACTAAACTTAGATTCAAATCCTGGTGCAGTCCCTTTAATAACTTTGTGACCTTAGGTAAGTAATTTTTAACCCTTCTGTAGCTCATTTTCCCTACCCTTAATAAAAAGGAGATACTAGTAATACCTGTCGCAATGGATTGTTTTGAGGATTATATGAGATCATGTGTGTAAATTTCTTGGCAAGTACCTGATATATAGTGACTGTTCAGTACATGATAAATATTACGTTTATCTTTCTAAAAGTAGGGATTCCAAAGTAATTTTAACTGTGAATAACACAATTCGCTGGTATTGCTACCTAAACAACCCAATACCAAAACAATTACTCTGGCACTAGAGAAACAAACCCTTTGTAATTATAGCTTTGAGCCAGCTTTTAGTTGATTTCTCAGTTCCCATTTATCTATTCTGACCTCGGAAAGCTTTTTACAAATATATATCTATTTCTTCTATGATGTAGAATGGTATGAGCCTAAAATACAGTGAAACAACATTCAGTATATTCCATAGTCAGATGATTGGCACATAATCAGAGAGGGTCTGTTTCTCTAAATCATCCAGTTGTTGTGAATTATATGACAAGTTTTCATTTGTTTTTCTTTCTGATTTAAAAACCTTTTCAGATCTCTAGTGGAAGAGGAAGACCAACACATGAAATTGTCCCTTGGAAGCAGCGAAATGGGCCTCTCCTCCCATTTGCAGTCTTCCAAGGCGGGAACCACACGCATCTTTACCAGCAATACCCACAGTTCTGTGGTGTTACAGGTAATCTCACTGTTGCATTATTCATAGCTTTAAAAACCACCCAGGGTTTTTGTGGTGTGGGATGTCACTAGTGGGAGAGGTTGTGCCTGTGTGTGGACAGGGGGTTTGTGGGAACTCTGTGTACTTTCTGCTCAGTTTTGCTGTGAACCTAAAACTGCTCTTTAAAATAAAGTTTATGAATAAAAAAAACAGAGAGCAAACAAATAGAGGAGAAACCTTGAGGGGGGGGAACTGCATACCTTCCTGATGTTAAAAAAAATTCTGAGTTCATTCTTTGTTTCATTTGTGTAAGGGAGGTCTTGCTGTCATGCCACATTCTTACAGAATGTTGTGTCTGGCAACGTTGACTTTTCATTATGTCTCAGCCAAGGTAAATACCACAAAGTCCCCATATTAAAGTTTCTAGTTCCTCCCTCGCAACCTATTTTCCCATCACCTTTATCGTAGTTCTCAAGATCGTATTTATTTGGTGTCTCAACTCACACTGGCAATTGTAGGTATGGGAGTAGGGGTGAGGGCCGCTGGACGCAAACACACTGATACATGCAAGAAGTAATAACTGACATCAAAGGAGAGGACAGAAAAACAATAGAAAGCCAAAAGAACACCAAAACCCTGCAATGTGGGGCTGTGTAACATAGGGATAAGCAGTTCAAGTACTTCTGACTATTGTGGACACTCCCTGACCTCGGTGGATGTTGCTGAGTTACAGAGCAATAGTGTAATGCTTGATGTCCATAAATTCCTTTTAGATATAGTCAAATTATATCAGTCTTCTCAGCTTAGTAAGTTAAGGAAAATAAATCCTTCTAAATATATTTTTTAAAGAAATTTCCCCAGATGAATTTGGTATGAATGCATATCCTTGGTCAAGAACCATGATAGTCCAGCAGTATATAGTGTATAGTATAGTATATAGCATAACGGGAGACGGAAGCTTGCGCTTTGCTGTGTGGCCTCGCTGTGTCATGTAATTTCTCTGGGATTCATTTTCCTTATCTCCAGACTATGACTCTCGAGTGGGAGATTTCTAAATTTTCTTCTAGTTCCCATCTGTGATTCATTGAAATCTCATTTTTCCAATGTTTCAATTCTAATGAGATCTGGCTCATCATATCATCAACAGAAATGAGAGGGTCAGGAAGGAAAAGCTTCCCATCTCCTGGTATCTTAGTTTATGTAAATGGTTTAATTGTTGGTTTTACAAGATTACGGGAGGAAGAGAATAAGGGGTCAAACAGTTAGGAAAAGCATGAAAGGAAGAGGTTTTTTGTTATATTAAAGTACTTTCTCTAAAGAAACATAGAAACTCACTTACCCCTCCGCTATACTTCTGCCCTATCCATGACCGTAGTCATGTGTTAAAGCCAATTTTTGTGGTCCTGCTAATTTTTAAAGTTTACCTTAAACCAACTAATGAAAGCCACTGCAGTGCAAAGAGGTTTACAACAGTGGTCCTCAAATTTTATTGCATATCAGAATCACAAGGAGAAGGGCTTGTTAAACAGTGAGCAGTGGGCCCCATCTCAGAGTTTCTGATTCAAAAACTCCGAGGGTCGGGCCCAGAAATGTGCATTTCTGACAAGTTTCCAGGTGATGCTGTAGGTCCAGGGAGCATACTTTTTGGAAACACTGTTCTAGAGGCAGGGTCCTTTTTACACCAAGAGAGATGGCCTCTCCCTTTCTCCCTATGTATCATATGGAGATTACAAGTTATTGTTATAATGGGGACACACTGGAAGCAGCTTAAATATCCATCAGTAGGGAAATGGTTACTTAAATTATGTTGCATCAAAACTGTGTAATACTGTGCAGTCACTAAAAAGAGTGAGCTAGATCTGTGTGTACTGAATGGAAAGGAAATATTAGATGAAAAAATAATAGGACAGCTGTGGCATAGCTACACAATGGAATATTATTCGGCTATATAAGGGAATGAATTTCTGATACAAGCTACAACGTGGATTAACCTGGAAAACATTATGCTAAGTGAAAGAAACTAGTCACGAAGAGCACATTTTATATGATTCCATTCATACGAAATTTGCAGAATAGGGAAATGTACAGAGACAGAACATAGACTAGTGATTGCTCAGAATTGGAGAAAATCAGAGGATATAAGGATGATAGCTAAAGGATGCGGGGTTTCTTTTTGAGGTGATGAAAATATCCTAAAATTGATTGTGGAGATGGTTGTACATATACTGAATTGTACAGTTTAAATGGGTGGATTGACATGTACTCACTGCTATATTTAAAATGGATAACCAACAAGGACCCAATGTATAGCACAGGGAACTCTGCTCAATATTCTGTAACAGCCTAATTGGGAAAAGAATTTAAAAAAGAATAGATACATGTATATGTATAACTGAATCACTTTGCTGTACACCTGAAACTTACACAACACTGTGAATCAACTATACCCCAATATAAAATAATAAGTTAAAAAAAATAAATGGGTGTATTGTATGGTATGTTAGTTATATCTTAAAGCTGCTTAAAAAAAAGTAACAGGGCAATATATATTGTATAATCCCATCTATTTGTAGAAATAATATACAATATGTATACATATACGTGCATGTAAATGCATAGCAAAAGGTCTGGAAACATTAGGGAGGCTGGTGAATGATGTCTTACACTTTGCTCTGGGTAATCCTGCACTGTTTCATTTTTTTTTACTATGGAAATATTTTTGTGTCTAACTTAAAAAATATAATGGTGACCAAACAGTTGTAGGTGGGTCTTAGAAACCTTAGCTCTGTCACGTTTTAGCTTGGCCTTTGTTGGTCTAGGCTGGCGGTAGGAATGGAGATGTGAAAGTAACCCGAGAGCTCATTCTTTCTTCAACTGATTTTTTATGTTATAATATTTTCTGTGGCGGTGTAGAGGTACCACTCCATATTGCTATTGAAAAACATTGTATGCTCTCTTTAAAAGTCTATTAAGGGCTTCCCTGGTGGCGCAGTGGTTGAGAGTCTGCCTGCCGACGCAGGGGACAGGGGTTCGTGCCCCGGTCCGGGAAGATCCCACATGCCGCGGAGCGGCTGGGCCCGTGAGCCATGGCCGCTGAGCCTGCGCGTCCGGAGCCTGTGCTCTGCAACGGAAGAGGCCATAACAGTGAAAGGCCCGCGTACCGCAAAAAAAAAAAAAAAGTCTATTAAAAATTATGTTCTCACTAACTGAGATTTTTTAAGTCCAAGCACTAACAGAGACTGGGGTTTTTTGGTATCTAATCTTAGGTGTATGGTTGTCAAGGGAACAAGCTAGAGAAGTGTTTAATGTGTAAATGTTATCATTGTTTTAAAATTAGCAATCACACAAGCTCCAGCTTCAAAAGGCATTGAAAGTAGCTGTCAGGGGAACAGATCCATGGGGAGAAACTATTTAAAGAAGTCTCACTCTGAAGGATACCCTAGTGCACAACTACAGTAGGAAGGACATGAGTTTAGGCTAAAAGTGGAATCCTAGTTTTACCACTTACCAGCTAGTTATGTGACTTTGGGAAAATCTTTATCCCCTACGGGCCAGTTTCCTTATCGGTAATGTGCGTAGTGGATGTGAGGATTAAATGTGACAATTTATGGGAAAGTAAGGTGCATAATAAATATACACTTATTTTCCTTCCATTTGAGCCAAACAGGGAAGGTGTCAGAGGAAATGTTGATCAGAAGTGATGGGTGTGCCAAAGAAGGTGTCCATCTGGTTGGCTTGATCTGCTCCAGCAGACTGTCTCCACTGAATAGGCTTCTGGAAACTAGGCTGTCAAAGAAAGTGCCTGGAAATAATTTTGATACCCGATAGGCTTGAATTCCTAGAATTCTGAACAAATTCCGGGAGAATTCATGATGGAGTTAGCAGTGCAAAATACTTTTACTCAAGTAAGGAAGATTAACCAGGGTTTGCTTAAGTAGTAAGTGGTGAAATCAAGAATTATTTCACTTCCCTCACTCCTTTACTACTGCTACAACTGTGGTTACTTCTCATGGAAAACGTCCATCCTTTGGCTTCACCCTGTTATCCCAGGTTGTTAACATCTTTTAAACCCCATACTATGGTGATTCATCAAATCATACCCTTCTTAGCATCTTCATTTTTTTAAAGTAACAACTTTAATTTTCATCTATATTATCATCTTGTATGTATCCATTAGTAGTCATTCCCCATCTACCCCCAACCCCTTTCCTAACCCTAGACGATCATTAGTCTATCTCTGTAGTTTTACCTATTCTATATATTTCATGTAAATGGAATTATACAATATATGGTCTTTTGTGACTGGTTTCTTTTACTTAGCATGGTGTTTTCAAGGTTCCTCCACACTATAGTATGCATCAGTACTTTTTCCTTTTTATGACTAAATAATATTCCGTTGTATGGATATACCACTTTTATAAAAATCCATTCATCCATTCATGGACATTTGGGTTGTTTCCACTTTTTGGCTATTGTGAATAATCATGCTGTGAACATTCATGTGTGAGTGTCTGTATGGGCATGTTTTCATCTATCTTTTGTATATACCTAGGAGTGGAATTGTCGGGTGATATATCATTGTGTTTAATCTTTTGAACAACTGCCAGGGTGTTTTCCCAAGTGACTGTGTTTTACATTCCCATCAGTAAAGTATGAGGATTCCAATTTTTCTATATTCTTGCCAACATGTGTTATCTATCTTTTTGACTATTGCCATACTAGAAGGTGTGAAGTGGTATCTTACGGTTTTGATTTGTATTTCCCTGAGTGCTAATGATATTGAGCATCTTTTCATTTTTGCTTATGGCCATTTGTATATCATCTTTGGAGAACTGTCTCTTCAGGTCAGTTCTCCATTTTTTTAGTTGAGTTCTTTATCTTTTTATTATTCAGTGGTAAGAGTTCTTTATATATTCTAGACACAAATCCCCTAGCAGATACATGATTTGCAAGTATTTTCTCCCAGCACCTTCAGTTTTGTGGTCCCTTATTGGTCTTCCATAACTGCTCTGCCAATCTTC